GGCTTTATTTAGATCATTGCAAGAATAAAAAGTCTCATCTTTCTCCTATGGAGCGGCTGCTGGACTCAAACCACCAAACTTGTGGTTTACAGTTCAGTGCATATTGTATGAAGTTATGTGTGTGTAGGAATCCTTGTCTGGCACTTTAGGATAAGCACTGGACTGCTACTTACAAGGTCAGGCATTCAAACCTACCAGTTGTTCCTCATAAACCCAATATAATGTCACTATAAATTGGAATTGCCTGAACATCACTTAACAACAACAACAGTACTGAGAGAGAGAGAAAAACTCAAAATACGAGCATGTAATTTTCATATCAGAAGGAAAATATCTGTCTATTAATCTAGGTTATTTATTAGGGGTTCAAAGAGTTAACAGATCTCCCTGAACTCAAAGCCAGAACGACACAGTCTGAGACTAGGAGGGAGATGTGGCTTGTGAGCATCAAGGAACCCATTGTGTAAAATACCCAGGCATCAAGAAAGTAAGAGTCCTTCAAGCTGTAGTACACAGTAAGAAGGAAGAGCTTCTTATATGTGGAGACTATATTATAGTATTATATGGGATGCCCAGAATTCAGAAGATAATTGGAATAAATGTTGGCAGTTTAGCAGGGTGCTTTAATAAATGAACTCCTATTGCAAATTTTATGGGAAATTGATTTTATAAAATAAAGTATACACATAATAAAACAGAGATCAAATAGAGGACAAACCCATTTTGGAGTATGTCCGTGCTCCTTTTTGATAATCGATGAGCTAGGAGTATATCACCTTTTGCTAATAGATGTGCTTGTGCTGATTAATAAAAAATTTAATGACATAAAGGTATCTTTTTTGTATTACAAATTTAACAGGGTTTTATGTATATGTATTACAATTCATATTTTATCTGTGAAAAAAGTGTAGAGAAATGATGCTGATATATTTTAAGAATTCTTATATTTTATACATTTTAATAATAAAACTACATTTCTTTCCACAGAATAAAAGTTTGAAAAACAAGCTCTTATCAGGAAACAAGCTGTGTGGTATCCATGCAGAAGAGGTGAGAACATTGTCTCTTTTTTCTAGCTTTAACTGGATAAAATCAATTTATATTTTTGTCATTAATGTAGACATTTGGGTCGAGTCTAGCATATAGTATAACAAGCCATATTAAATCATTTCAACAATATTGTGTAAAAAAATAATTTTAATTACATGGGAGCTAAAAGTTGACGCCCTAAAATGACAAAAAAAAAAAAAAAAAAAAAAACTACCAACAGACCAAATGGCTTGAAGATTTGAGGAGGTATCATGTTTCTTCTATTGTCATTGCATTTTTCTTAGGAGAGAAATATGTTTTTCTTTATTTACTATTATTTGCTATTTTATATTTCTAAAATTAATATAAATGTGGTTTGGGCAGTTTTGGAGTATTAATTATGAGAGGAGAAAAGTGAAATTAAATTTGAATAAAGGATATATAAACTAAATTCTAAAACTTTCATCAGTTCATAGGTTCTGATAAAAGTCTTGTATATGTAACAGAATTGAGTGTTAGGAGGAGGTGTCTGTGCTATTTAGAAGAAGACCATTCTGGGATTTTCTGTAGTATTTTGGCCTCATAATTAAAAATAAAACCTTATATTTTTCATATCTTTGTATTCTTTGTATAGTGAATTCTTAGATGCTTTAGATACATGTTGCATCTTGTTGAAATGCATTGCACCATGTTCATTATAATTGATTAACTTGACCTATATCTTTATTTATTTGTAGACAAAAATTAGAGTTTAATATTAATAATAGTGGGGAAAGTTTCTTGTCTTCTCTTGGATCAAAACTACAAAAGAATATGGTGGCAAATTTAATTATTTGATTCACCACTATTCTCTGAAATAATAGTTCTGTCTATTTTCACACACTGTTTTGGGATCTATCACATAAATACATGTTTATATCAGTGACATTAAATTTTTGGTATTCATAGATAAATAATTTCTAAATCCCAATGATTTAATGAAATTGTGAATATTTTCATTTGCCAAAGTAGAACATTAGAAACAATGAAAGCTCTATGAATGCCATCTGACATCACCAAAATTATTATTTCAAGGAAACTATATTATTTAAACACTAAAATGTGCTTAGGAAGAACTTTCCATCTCCTAAATGTAGTCCCGGTGCTGTAGGATCATGCACTGAACTGCAAGGTCAGTTTAAACTATAAGATTGGCTGTTGAAACTCACCAGTCATTCCTTAGAAACCTTATACAGGGTTGCTATAAGTCGGAACCGATTCAACGACACAACACAATGTGAGACGCGAGAAAGATGTTTGCGTGTACTTTTTTAACTATGCAAACATCTTTAACTATGTGGATAATGACAAATTATGGACAACATTTTGGCAAATGAGTATTCCAGAACACTTAACTGAGCTCATAAGGAACCTGTACATAAGTAACAGGGGGTTCTCTCAAACAGAACAAGGGTCACTGAATGGTCATAATTCAGAAAAGGTATGCACTAGGGCTGTATTCTTTCACTATATTTATTCAATCTGTATGCTGAGCAAGTAATCTGAGAAACTGGATTATATGAAGAAAAATGTGCCATCAGGCTTTGAGGAAGACTCAACAATATACAGTATGCAAATGACACAATCTTGTTTGCTAAAAGCAAGAAGGACTTAAAATACTTACAAATGAAGATCAAAGACCACAGTTTTCAGTATGGGTTATAGCTCAATGTAAAGAAAACAAAATTCCGCATCACAGGAACAATAAATAATATTAGGACAAATGTTGAAAAGATTGTAGATGTCAATGCTTTCTTTTGTTTGGCTCCATTATTGGCACTTATACAAACAGCAGTCAAGAAATCAGAAGATGTGTTGCATTAGATACATCTTCTGTACACGACTTCTTTATAGTGTTCAAGGGTAAAGATGCCAATTTCAGGACTAAGGTACAGATGACCCAAGCCACTGTATTTTCAATAGCTTCATATGTATGAGAAAATATAACAATGAATAAAGGATACCATAGAGGAATTGATGCATTTGAATTATGGTATTTGGGAATAATACTAAAAGTACCATGGACTGCTAGATGAACAAACAAATCTGCATTTGGACAATTACAGCTATAATGCTCCTTAGAAGCCAGGATGGCCAGACTTCGTCTCTCATATTTCAGAATATTATCAAAGAGGGACCAATCCTTGGAGAAGAACATCATGTTTTGAAAGATGGAAGCCCCAATGAAATAGATGAAGATCCCCATTGAGATGGATTGATTGGCACAATGGCAGCAGCATTGGACTTAACAATTGTGAGGATGGTTCAGGACCAGGCAGTGTTTTGTTCTGCTGTGCATATATAAGGTCTCTATGAGTCAGAACTGACTGGATGGCACCTAACAACAATAACAAGTGAGATAAATTAAACGAATTAAACAATGTTTTGTTATATCCAGCAGTTCCACCTCTTTTTCCATCTTAGTCATCTTCTTCATCTTATAATCATCATCATCTTTACCACCTTGCTGTGGACTGGAATAAATTTCATGACAGATAGTACCCAATTGTATTTAGAATCACTAATATGGTGATGGTGTCACTGAGTCGGTTCCAACTCATAGCAACCTTATACTGAATTTCCAAGGTTGTAAATCTTTACAGGAGCAAAAAGTATCATCTGTCTCCCGTCAAACAACTGGTAGATTCAAACTCCTGACCTAGCAGTTAGCAGCCAGTCTCATAACCTACTATGCTATCAGGGCTCCTTAGAACCACTAATATAATATAAATAAAATCAATACATTTCCAAATGTACTATTGTCTCAATTATTTGAAAGTTATCCCTCTGACAGGTTTTACTTTTCAAATGATGGTAACAAAACAAAAAGTAGCCAAAGTATCAATTAGTACACATTATAATAAGGAATGCTCTTATTCAGGAGATATGTTTTCTTATTTTGCTGATTCTGTCACAAAATCTTGCTATGTGATTTTTCTTTTTCATTTGTTGAAAATTAGGAGCAGTATGGAATATGTAATGCATAGAAGTCATGAATTACTGTCAAAGAAAAGTCTCCATAATAATTCTGAGATCATAGTGAATCTAACTATTCACAGTCTCTTAAAGTAGAAAATTACATCTAGTTTTTTTGGGGGGTTGAGATAAAGGGTTGTAGGACTTGTATGAATTACTAATAGTGAATACAAATTGTGATTTTCTTCAAAGGCTAAAATGATAACTATACCCAGTACATTCAGTGCAACTAAGTACTTAGGAATGTTCACCTAAAATGGTTAAAATCAATCATTTTTCTAATTTGAAAGATCATTTATGTGGGAGAATATCATTGGAGCTGGGCAATCCGTGTGCACCAAATGCAGTGGTAATCTCCCTTCCCCCCACCAAAACCAGTCAACATTAGTTACAAATAAAGCTAAATAATGTAAGGGATATTTTCCTGAGAGACTGCATTGACTGTAAGGTAAAAGTAGACAGCAGATTGGAACAAGAGAGAGAAAATGCCAATCAACTGTGCATTGGAAATTTGAAATATGATAGAACGAAACATTTTCAGAAATCACTAGCTAAAAATTAATGATAGTCATGTCAACTAGGAATTGTCTTGAGATAAAGTTAATGCAATAAGATAGATACAATGCGCTTGAAATCTCCTTTTTTTGGATCACTTGGGAAACATTGTGTGAGAAGAGTGAGTGCTTTAGTGGAAGTAGAGTTGTGTAGGAGGAGCACAAATTCAGAGAACTCAGGGCTCAAGTGTCGGTTTTTATTCTTAAGAGCCAGTATTAAAACACAATGAACATGCAAGCACACACAAAACACAACATACCATGTTCTTAGAGATTTCTTTTATGCATCTTATAATATATTTAACTTTCACTATCCATATCAAAAGGAGCCCTTATAGCATAGTGGATTACAAATTGTGGTACAAACCGCAAAATCAGCAGATCAAGTCTACTAGTCGCTCCATGGGAGAAAGATGAAACTTTCGCTCTGGGTTGGAACCAACTTAGGAGCATAAAACCTATTATTACAATTATCTATATCATGCTAAGGAAAGGTACATCTAGTTAGAAAACTAAAAAGCACTAACTAGCTTATAAGAAAGCACAAATTTATGCTGTGTTGTGATATAGAATCAAATTGTATAATTCTGAATTATCAAAGTCTTTCTTTCTCGCTCTTCCTCTTTCCCACCCTCTATTCCTCACCTTCCTGTTTATTCCTATCCTTCTCTTTCCTTTATTCATCTTTCCATCTCTTCCCTTTCTCCCTCCTAACCTGCATTTTATTTGGTTTTCTTTTGTTATTTTATTAACTTTATGATAGATCAGGAAATGTAGATGTGTCATAATAGATATCTGTGCAAAATGGTATTTTCAATATTAGAACCAGGCAATGGTGCATCATTTACAATGCTCTCAACTTTATACTCTAATAATGTTTTTCGTATTACAACAAAAGGTGTTTTCTTTGTTGAATAATGATTTGAGAATGATGACAACCTTGTAACATAGCCTCCCACTTTATAAAGTCCTGGTGTGATACTGTAAGATAAGCACTGGACTTATATTAACTACTAGTTTGGCAGTCCAAACCAACATGTCTCTATTTGGAAACCCTATACAGGGTTGCTATGAGTCAAAAACAACTCGATGGCTCTTACCAACAACAACAACATAAAGAAGTAAATTATATTGTTATGAAAGTCTTCATTTAGTAATGAAAAGGCCACCCAACTTTTTGAAATATTACAGTTTTCCAAGAATATATTGAATATGTATAAATCTTTAATTGCTCTATCTGCAAATGAAATGTGATTCAATTTCTTATTATATTCATAAGGACTGTAAACATGTCACGTATTTGTTGTTGCTGTTAAGTGCCATTGAGTCAGCTCCAACTCAGATCGAAACTTTATACATTTTCTTAGGAGCAGCTGGTGGGTTTGAACTGCTGACCTTATTGCTCACAGTTCAGTGCTGATCCTACAGTATCACACTAGGAGTCCTACTATG